GTTTTAAGTGCAACCCCTCCTCTCCTATAATAGCCTCAAATGGCCTTCAACAGCACAAAGGGAACCTGAACTGTACTGCACAATGCAGTGACGCACAAGCAGTGTTGGATGTGTGATAACATCTCTACACACACACACACACTCACAAACAGAAACTCTGTGTCTTTGTGGGGCCATCAGTTATCTTTGGAGAGGGTCACAGCATACTGGACATCTAATACAAAAGCAGAGTTTTGTAACTGGAGCTCTGGAGCGCTGATGTGCATGCTCAGGGTTTAGTCTCAAGGTTTGAACTCTCCTAAAGGGGATTTCTGGGGACGCAAAAATGTGTGGCACAAAGTGAACTTTCTTTGTTGATTAATTGTTCCTATAATATTTGTCATATTTTGCAGATATTTATAAAATCACAGCAAATGTGCATATCTTTTTTTTCTCTCAATTAACTGCATTTAAAAACAATAATGACAATATAAAGTGAACAACCAAGTCAGAGTAACAAATACCACAACTTGATGAGTGTGCATCTTTTCCCCTTCAGAATTTCCCCTTCTTTGAAATGTTTTTTTTCCCTTCTGCATTTTTAAAGGAAAGGTATAGCGTGTATTATGAACGCACTTATTGGTGTATTAAAGTTGTCTTTCCAAGCTGGACATCAATTCAATAAAATCCTATGAAAAAATGAAAACTGTCCCGAGTGGAAGTCCAAGCCCCTTAATAACGTTGCATATTTCTTTAGGACTGAGTTTAAAAAAATGAAATGGATTTTCATATGAATGATCTGATATCAATTCCTAAAATCCACAGATCGATTTTTAATTGGCCATTCAAATCAGGTTGTCTTTTGTATTTCTGTGCTGTGACGTCTGATTTTTCGAGGTGACTTAATAAGTACATTCATGTAACCCTAAACATTTTAAATATTTTTTCTCTTAGAATCCTTATCATATTGAAACAGAATTGGTATTGTAACTTAAATATCCTTAATTAATCGATTTGGAATCGAGTCAGTAATCGAATCAAATTGGGACCTTAGGAATCCTAATTGAATCGTTTCAGGCAATCAGTGGTGATACCCAGCCCTCTATTTCATAGGTTTGTAATGATGTGATTTATTCCTGCTTTCCTGAGAAAACACTGCCCATGCCCATGCTAATGTCCCCACTAGCAAATAAGCTAGCAAGATAGTTGGACAATAGAGCTCAACAATGACAGCCAACTTTTTTTGGTCGCTCTTTATGGAAAGAAGTTTCCCTATTTAGATCCTCCACTGACATTTCAGAAAATCCTTCTCTCATTAGTTGAATAACACACTGATATTACCAATTATCAGAAAGAAAAATACATAAATTGTCAGTGCGCTACAGAAGTGTAGCAGAACATGATCATGTGTTGGACGTATGGCTTAGACATTTCTGTAGTTCCACACTTTTTAAATTCCTGTGAACTTTTGCAGTTTGTTCCCACTCTGGGCTCAAATCCTTTTTCCAGAAAGAGTTTCACTCAAGCCAGAAAATGAGAACAGATGTCAGTAACCCTGATACTCTAAACATATAGTGTTACATCTAACAGGGACTGAGTCACTTGCAGCATTGAGTGCTGAATGTGTGACATCATTAGCCTATTCAGTAAGTGAGTAATCAGTTGACACGCGTGGTATTAACAGTTGCTTTGTGCAAACTCCACCTGCTGTGTGATTTTAAACTAATGCTCGGGAAACAACTTCTCAAGCTTCCAGCCTAGTTTAATTCAACACTTTTAAAAAACTGTGAAGCCTCATGACAGATGATCGTGGTACCTGTGTGATGTCACACCTCTGACCCAGAAAGTTACCAAAAGGTGATCCTGTTGCTTCCTAGCTGCTAATTACTTCTTTCAAAATATCTGTCCTCTTATCACAGATGTTAGTAGAAAACATGATGATGAAAGTGTGAAGCTTTCCTTGTGTTGTCTATCAGCACAAATGTTGTTAGTCTTAGATTATAAATTACAATGCTGAACAGGTACTGATGCTGCAATGTGTCACTCTGCTATCAGCTGTCTGAAGTGAAAACAGGACGGCATTATTTATTTACAAGCCTTGGGGTAGTCCATGCTATCTAATCTTTCCAGTTCTTGTTTAGTTTGTGTCTGAGAAATGAATATTCAGAATGCGTACTGAACAAAAAAAAGTCGACAAGTGAAGGTGGCCAAAGGAGTCGGATGTAAAAAATGGAAGCCATTAGGAAATATTGGAAAGCCACCAAAAGACAGCGCAAGAGACTGTACGCCATGGGAGGCAGAATAAGCCAAAAGAAGTCAAATGTTGGTTAAAAAATGGAACCCAGTTGTGGGGCAGGCTGCTCTTAACTCCAGCCAGCAGGAGGAGAAAGAGAAGAAGGAGGTGGAGGCCATGGCTCAGGAGTAGTCCAGTCGTTTATTCCTGGCCAGGGGTCAACTGTGGCCTCAGGCTGGAGCTCAAAGAAGGACGGAGAAACCCACACATGATGAGAATACACACTCACACACACACACACACACACACACACACACACACACACACACACACACACACACACACACACACACACACACACACACACACACACACACTCATTGCCAGGGGTCAGCAGTGTCCTCCATATGGCGAGCACACACACATGAAGAGCCTCCTTGAGAGAATGATGAAGACGCACACTGCCACACACGGTACTTAACACAGACCCCTGTAAATCACAACCTGAAATGCTCAGGCTGGTAATGTTCCTCTAACCACAGTCTCTGTACCACAATTAGCATAATAAATCCATAAGAGGGTGAGAAGCACTGAAGCTATCAGGACGGAAATGGTTTCAAACAATGGGTATGATGCACGCATGGCCTTTTCCCTGAATGCTGGCACAGCCACGACCTGTCCGACATATTTTACAACCCTAATTACAATATAGAGAGGAGCTGCCTCAATGGAAGCTGCTTCCAACGTTAGAGGTTCCCTAAGTAATTATCATGATGAACCTGGCATGCCATGGTCATAAATATAGTAGAACACACACCAACCAACACATTGGCACATGTTGGGAAAAGTAAAGGAAAAGAGATGTGGTGAAGGACACACACACACACACACACACACACACACACACACACACACACACACACACACACACACACACACACACACACACACACACACACACACACGGAGGGTGGTGAGGTGAGGACACCCTCATTCATTGAACACATAAAATACATGGATTTCTGAAAAGAATGATTTGAAGAACAGTAAGGTTTTTAACTTTAAAGGTATTTGAAAGTTGACAATGGGAGAGACTGGAAAAACACAGATATTTAATGGATTTGAATTTAAATATCTGTATTCTTGTCTCCTGCTTTTACACTACATGTCACATTCACACACTGATGGAAGAAGCTGCTATGTAAAGTGTCCATCAGTATTAACTTATCCCATTCATACACATTCACACAAACTAAATCCTCTTGGGAGCAGTTTGGGGTTGTCTATGCCAACGACACTTGGGGATGAGGATCCTCCAACCTTCTGATAGAGAAAACTGACTCCACCCCTGAGCCACAACAGCCCCACAAAAACGATAGAATCTCAAGAGAGAATTGCATAATATGACTTTGAAAAACAAACATAAAAAAAAAGCAAAAACACAAATGAAACTTAAAAAAGCTTGTTTTAAAAACTAAGAATTGTTTCCAAGGAACCAAAACAAAAAAATGAGAACCACAATAAAAAATAACAATAATTAAAGCAGAAGGGGGGTAAAGTGATCCATATACCTATCTTTATTAAAAGTTGTTTTATCTGTTTTTTTCTTTCACAGAAGGATGACTTCCCAAACTGAACTAGATCATGACCTTTGGATAAAGGAAAAAACGTCTGTTTTCTTTTCTGTTTTCCAAAAAGGAATAAAAAAAACTACAAGTTTTGATCGTCCAATCGGTTACCCAAGGGCTCATGGTTAGGACAAATAATTAACCTGTATTTAAAATACTACTTTTTATCAATAAGGTCCATAAAAGGTCATTTTGTGTGTGCGTGTGTGTGTGTGTGTGCGTGTGTGTGTGCGTGCGTGTGTGTGTGTGTGTGTGTGTGTGTGTGTGTGTGTGTGTGTGTGTGTGTGTGTGTGTGTGTGTGTGTGTGTGTGTGCTTACTGTTAGTCCTGCCTTTCTTTATGCAAAGTGAGATTGTGTTTCCAAGTACATACAAAAGGTTAAACCATGACCACAGACCTCAAAAGAATCATATGAATGTTTCAACAATGAGCAATAATTGAAATACAATATCAATACATTCTATAATTGTAAAAAAGAATCAATGTGTGTTCACCTCACAGTGTCACAAAGCGTCACCATATGCAGCACAGACACACTCATCACACAAATCAAGTGTCACTGTCTCATTAAGCTTCAATGAATAATTTTGCAATTACATTTAACATGCAAACACACAAGACAAATTAGGCCTCACTGTGAGGGGAAGCACCGAGAGAGTAATGGCCCCCAAGAATTGCAAATGAGGCGCCGCTTGACATTTTTATATCACAGTAAATCACCGTATGTATGAGCCAAGTTGGTCGTGCGCTTGCAGAACACCAGCGTGTGTGTCTGGATGTGTTGACAAGCACCTCAACAAAGTCATCACTTCAGACACAACACAAGCTATAGGTCATGTGATCTGGTCACTGGTGCACATCTGTGTGCATTAAGCTGGAATATATTCATTTCCTGTGCTAAGTTTGAATACATGTTGTGTACAACCACCAGGAAGATGAACTGGGATGTTTCCCAGATTCAGATTAAGTCGTGCACTGGAAATTACAGGCTGGGGATGTTCTCTATTGAGGCTTTACAGCTGAGGATTAATCTGTAGTCTGGCAAGTCAACCATCAAAATCCAGTTATCCAGCACAGGCAGAAAATGAAGCAAAGAAGTAGAGAAGATGAAGACAGGAAGTAAAAATGTAAAAGAAGATTTAAAAGCCTGTGGGAACTCACCCGGTCTTTTCTCCATCTTTCTCCCTCGACTGCCACATAGTCGAACCTTCGATATTAATATTAGAATTTGCTTCTGGCAGAGCGACTTGTTGCTCTTCGGGCAGGGCTTGCGCTTGCTGGCGATCTGCCGGTTCGCCTGGGGGTCCTTGACCTCCCTGCGCTGGCGAATGAGGGAGCTGGCGAGAGCGGCCATCTTCCCAGCGCTGACCCTGCCGCCGCCTCACCAGCCTCTTGCGGCTCGGTGGCGCCCAGGTGTCGGGGGGTACCGTGGGCCACCCCCCTGCCCACTCACCCAGGGCGACGGAGCACCGCTGAGGGAGGGGTGCAGAGCTGAGGAGGGGGCCTTTATGAGGATGGACCCGAAGCGACGGGGAGCAACGCAGAGAAAGAGGGACAGGGAAGGAATAAGAGGAGGAGGTGGAGGAAAGAAGGGTGGATCCCTCAAAGGCCCACCCAAAACTGACAACTGATGCAGGTATCGGGTGATTGCCTTTAAATTGTCTTCTGGTAGTTTGCTTTTTGGTTGGAAAAAAAGGTACAGATTAAGCCTTCATATGTCACTGTCATCCGGTTATCCACCAAAAATCCAAATGTCTCTCAATGCTTCTGTCCCACTTGGAGTTTGCCTCTTATCCCTCCTCCTGGAGCTCCACTGAACTTTGACTCAATCCTGTCCAAAAGGGTTCAGCGACAGAACCATTCTGCGCATTGTGAAAAGCCAGCTGGAACAAGAAGTCGCTGTTAGTCCCCTTATCCTGCACAGTCCACGGGATCAGAAGCGAGAACCAGTCAAGGGATGAAAAAAATGTCCGATTATCAACTCTCCAAAAAATTGACACCGACGGGACACACTGCAGCTCCTCCTCGTTCAGGTCTGTCCGTCACCTGTAAAAAATGTCTTCATCCAAAACAATGACAAAGAATAGGAAGAAGAAGTAGAGACTGTCCGACCTGAGGTATCAGCTCCGCAAAGCTGGGACAAGGATGGAAGGGATGCACAAAGGACGCTGCCGGACGCTTTGATTCCTTTGCTGTCTTTTCAAGCTCTCCTGGCGTCACCCTTTGCGTTCACCCGCACCCTTAGAGGAAAACCAGAAGAAGACACAGGCTTGATAAATCCACTATTTCCCAAAGATAGAGGTGACATTCATGAAGAGAGAGAGTGTGCAGGGGGGGAACAGAAACAGACAGGGTCACAGGAAGAATGAGGAGAGAGGGAGGGAGTCTATATTTCCCCCCTCTATCGGATCGGACACTCCAACTCTTTCGGCAAGCGCACTACACCACAGCAGAGCGCACTGCTGTGTCCTTCAGCCACGCATGCCGCCTCACAGCTGGGAGAACGATGGGATGAATGAATGGAGGGGAGACAGAGAGAGAGGGAGGGAAGGAGAGGAGACGAGGTGAAGGGGAAGGGAGGTGAGGCTGGTATGCAGGTAGTCATTCCTTACGGTACATGCTGTGTTGCTGGGAGTCTCCGCTGGTGGGTGACAATAGTCCAGTCTGGTTCTGTTGAGTCCGGCTGCACAGTGTGAGTCCATGTGTGTAAAAGAGTGTGTGTGTGTCCCCCCACAAACAAGGCACCTCTAAGCCTCAGCACACACGTGTGAGCGAGTGTGTGTATGAGTGTGTGAAAGAGCGGCACAGTGAGATGGTGTGTGACAGAGGCAGCATGTATGTATGTGAAAATGTGTGTGTGTCGCTCTCGCTTGTCCCTGTTCACAGTGCATTACCGACAGAGCGCTGGCAGCGTGCTTCACATGCTCTCTCTGTCTCACCCTCCCTTACTCTCTCTCTCTCTCTCTCTTTCTCCTTCCCTCTCTCGCAACTCTCTGTCCCTAAACCCTCCCCTTTCTCTTCATTCTCCCTCCCTTTTCTCCTCCCCTTCTGTCACTCTGATCCCTCCTTCAATGTCTGCCTTTTCAAAGCCCCCATTCTTCCCCCTGTCTTTCCTATTCTCTTCATTGCTTCTTTTGTGCAGTACCATACCATACCGGGCCAGGCTAAGACGGGCCAGGTAGGTCAGAGCTGGGGGGTTACCCCACCCCTTCTCACTGCACCCTCCCACTCTGTCGTCCCATCCCACCGTCTCTGCTGTGATGTTGGCTTAAAGAGACAAACTAAGTGAGGCTGTCAGCGCTGTTCTCTCAGCTATGACAAGGACATATAGATGCCGTGACAAAGTCCGAGTCAGTCAGCATCTTGCGTTACCACCGCCACATCATCCAGACGTCTGTTAACGCACAAGCCACTTTTAAAAAAATGCACCACACTTTGTGAAAATGATGACACTACCTGGGAGTACTGAATCTTTTGACAAGGACAATAAACAGATTTTAGCCTCCCAAAGTCTTGGTCAAATATCTGTTTAATGTCCAACTGAGTCTGTTGCAACAGGTAATTGTCCAGAGTGTCCACAGCCCAGGAGTTGATAATTGATGTGTCATACTGCCTTGATTACCTGTTTATTGCTTTTCCACTGTTGCATTTGTGTCGCTGCTTCATCTTACCCCAGTCAGGGCACATTCCCCCTCTGAATCCAAAACAAAGTATATCCAGTTGTTGAGAATGCACATCACATAGGCAATCTACTGCTGTGTGCTACATGCATGAAAAGGCACGTCTGGAACACCTGATTGCTTAGAGTTCTTATGTGACAATAGCTATGTCCTATAAAATCAAGTCCAAAAGTGCAAGGAACTGGCAGTCAGCTCAGAGAGGTAAACAAGTAGCTGGGTAACATGTTTACGTATAGCCAATCAAATTTTGGCAAATACCAGTTACTGAGCTTTTGACCAAAGGCAAAGTTTCAGAATGAAATTAGTCTGCTATATCAACAACAACATACTTAAAAAATATTCAACACCAGCTCACCTGCAAAAGTGTCCTTCTTATCTCCTTCCAATAAATATGAAAAAATATTTTGTCCTGCATGTTAGCTAGTTAAAAAGCAACCCATGAACAATGCCCTCTGCATTCTAATTTACTTCCCAATCATTTTTTTTTCATTCATGCTATAGCTGTGTGGATCAGAGAATATCCGCGGCTCAGTTTAGGGACTTGGGTCGGGAACCGGAGGGTCGCCAGTTCAAGTCCTGGTGTGGAACAAAATATGGAAGTTGGCACCGAATTCCAAATAGCTCTGCTGCGCTACCTTTGTAGCAGTGTGTAGCAGCACCACTCTGACATTTCCCCACTAATGCATGTCCACAGCTCCTGTTTGAGCATGTGCATGTATTTCAAGCCTATGTGTGTCAGAAGCATGTTTTTAATAACAGTGTAAACCAGAATTTCCCTCAGAGATCAATAAAGTAAGTGTTGGTCTGCCAATTTGTCAGCATCGATGAGCACTTCATTCACACTTCCCTGGACAACCATTAATGAATATATCGCACCCCCCTTGAAACGGATAATTTATAATTTTGTAAGAGAGAAATTTACCATCACAGAACATTGAACACCACATAAGCGCCTCAAATAGAACCGTTAACACAGTTTAAAAAAGATAGCATGCTAACTGCCTTTTATGGGATGATTAGCAGGGTATACAAAATATTAGCTTAACATGAACATGTTAACTTTGTCAATGTGTGCATGCATGACATTTTACATCTGCCTAATAGAGTAACAGTCAAGGGACTCAAATGCCTGGTGTTGGTTCATGTAACACACTGTGACTGTGCTGCCACATTGAGAACAGGACACTGTAGTGCAAAATAAAATTATTTAAATCTCCAGAGACTGTCCTTGATGTATTAAACCCCAATTAAAACAAAAGAAAAACACTTCAGGGGTTTGAGCCAGCAGCTGCAAGCGTCAATACCAGCATCTAATTTAGCCGGCAATTTAATCTTCTGAGAGTGCTGATATTTCCTATGACTTTAGTTGACATCTCCATACCTTCTCTTTTTGGCCTCCATTCAAACTCTATAGTCCGTGAGGGCGGATTTGTAAATGCTCAGGCAGAAAAGCACTGGTGATAAGCTGGCAGCATGACAAGTTTTTCAACAGCCTGTGGCCAAAGATGTAGTGATATGGCGTACCATCATTGAATCACATCAAGCCAAAATAATCTGCCTCATGCCTCCCCTCCCCTCCCCTCCCCATCTCTGTCTGATCAGCGGACAGTAACACATTACTACTTTTCCTCTTTTCAGAGGGTGAGTGTAATTTCACCAACATGAACTTATTATTGTCTGTACAAGACTGACATGGACTTATTTCCTGCCATGTTGGATGGTGAGCTGAAAATACAGTCTATTATTATTTATGTCTAAATATTGCAATTGCATGAGAAATGTATTATAATCTGTGGTCGGAAAGAATCTAGTTTAAACCACCAAGTAGTCAAAAAGAGATTGGTAGGTTTTTTTTATTTCCAGACTTTTTGGGTATGCAAAGTTCTCTGGCTTCCATTTATAGAACTTGGAAGTCTGAGTTGTATTATCTAATCGTGTATCAGCAGGCTTTGGTTTGTGCAGGAAAAACAGTCTGTTTCAAGAGCAAAACCTGATAAAATGTCATCTGGGATAAAGACATCTGACCTCCCATTGGCCGTAACCTAATTACTTTTCATCTCATAAACAGATTTCTGTCGACAATTTCCATTATCAATCTGTTCTAGATTCTTCTCTACTCCTCTTGAGGACAGAATAAACAAAGTTAGACTGTTTGACTAGGGATGTTCCTATAGCCGACTGTTTCCTCTTCAATGAGTTGCTTACATCACCAGTGCTTGTTCCACCAGCCACCGTTCCTCCTTGCATGTTAACATCCTCATTCCTGTTCAGAATGCAGTTACACATTACTCCAGTCGATATGCTAGTTTAACCTAACACAGCCTACATACATTTTTATCTCAGTTTTCTAGACCAGAAACGGCAAAACCGTGCTGCTCCTATGAGATGCTATCTGTTCACTGTGCATGTTTACATCTGGGTAGTAGAGCAGGGAAATCAGGCCCATTAGTCCATGGCTCCAGTGTGTTGTAGTTTGGGCATGACTTTTGACAGGCATCGAGTGTCAATATAAGAGAATAATAATACTTTTTTGTAACAGACAAGCCAGGTAGATGACGTTTCATGGTTTGGTCCAGTGGTTTTCTGGACTGGTCTAGCATCAGGAACCACCTTTTAAATGACAATCCCAAATTTTTGAAAATGTTCAATCATTAAAATATATTTTTTAATTTAA